GAATATGGTTTTACGCCGCTTTTAGCAATATTCCAGCAATATCACGGCGGGGGACACCAGAAATGGGCTTCACACATTGTAACCATGTCGGGAATCGAACCCGGGTCTTCGGCGTGACGAGCGAACGCTTTAACCACTAGGCTACCCGACCGCCCCTCCCCCTATCGATAAATGTTATGTGCGAAAATACGACAAACCAACCAGAAAGCGCGTATGATTTCAAGTTCTTCGTCAAAGAATCCCTCAGAAACAAATTTTGATTTTACATATGTCTTGCATCTAAAAATATACCCAAGACACAGTTACATGTGTTCAATCATACTGTATAATTCCGCATGTCCCGATGTGCTTTAAATTGCATCTGAAATATATATAATATATGGGGAAATATATGTGAACCATTACGCAACGAGTTGACAATTGTTTTAGGTATGCCCGTTTGCGCTAAGATTGAACCCGGTCGCAAAAATGGCCACGATAGGGGGACCGGTCGCTATTCGGCTTGTCCTGGAATAACACGAGTTGGTTTCTACCTGTAACAAACCAAACATGTTTGCCAAAATTCTGTGCACCGCCAACATGTCTCAAACGCGTTTTGTGAGTTGGTTCAGCTTATCTTGGATTACCAGTAAGAGGTTAGATGGATAACGTTTGAATGTTGCACAACGTTAAAGAAAGTCTTGTCAATGCCCAGAGGTATGGGGCGTTCTACAGAGTTGCCTCCCTTAGCGGGAGGGTCCACTTGAGAGTGAGTGAGTATTGTTTTACGCGTTTAAATAGTATGGGCTATTGTACCCATGTGGGGAATCGAACCCTGGTCAAGAGAACACTTAAACCAGTAGGCTATCCAACCGCCCCTGGGCCCGCTCGTTCATATTAACCGATTATGATCCTTGGCATGCTCCAGGATCTGCAAAATGTGCGAAGCAACTTTATCTATTGTTATAAAGCTTGGTTGGTTGGTTGTTTTTTTTGTTTAACGCCGCACTCAGCAATATTCCAGCTATATGACGACAGTCTGTAAATAATCGAGTCTGGACCAGACAATCCAGTGATTGACATCATGAGCCTCGAACCACGCAATTGGGATCGATGACATGCATCAACCAAATCAGCGAGCCTGACCACCCGATCCGTTAGTCGCCTCTTACGACAAGCATAACGACCTTTTACGACAAGTATGGGTTGCTGAAGACCTATTCTACCTCGGATCTTCACGGATGTTATAACGCAACAAAACCCTTTCCATAATCAAAAGAAATCACGGCTCAACGCAAAGTCCATCGGACGTACTAGACTATATCATAAGCATGTGTTTATGAATATGAAATTGTGATGATTCCAGATGTTCGTGAGAAGATGAGCGCATCCTGCCCCACCAGGAGCAACGTCACAAACACATGCAAAGGCAAATCATATATCACCTGAAAAAACACGAGAATATGAGGGGGTAAAAAACGGGAATTGCGAAGGACGTTATTGTGATCACTGATGCGTCAAATGTTCCAATGACAATACATGTCTACCTTAAAACCTTTTCAAAGCTTTACGGACCGCCTCCGTGGTCTAGTGGTAGAGCGTCCGTCCGGAGAGCGGAAGGTCCGGGGTTCGAATCCTGGCCGCGTCATACGTTAAAAGATGGTACTTGTTGTTACCCTGTCTGGCGTTCGGCATTAAGGGGCTAAAACATAGGACTGGTCGGCTCGGAGTCAGTATACTGTGTCAGAGTGGGGTATTCATGTTAAACTGCGGCATGGTATCTCAGGGAGCTAGCACTATAAATCGGCATCAGTCCGGACTAGTACAAGCAGCCACACAAACACACACGTACATGCACGTCGCTATATAAGTGCAATAATCTTGAAATCTTCATAGAAAGAGTATCCCCAATTGTACTTGAAAAGTTGTGAAACGTAGTCACGAAAGGCTGGAGCTGTTGAAATATTGTTTAACACAAAAGACATTTTTTTAAATATTACCTTCCGTAAATAACAAATAAGACAAGTATGGGTTTGAATCAGATAACAATCTTCACTCTTCAAAACGACAACCCACGTGTAGGGGAGGTTTTACGTCGCTTTCTAAATATTATTGCCCTTCTATAGCGGCGTGCATAAACGTGTGTGTGTGTGTGGACTAATGCCGGTTTTATAGTGCTAGCCCACAGTTCAACATGGATTCCCCCTCTCAGACACAGTGTTCTGACTACTTTATGCCGAGCGCCTGGCAAGGAAACAACAAGTACCATCTTTAAAAGTCTTTTAGAATGACGCGGCCGCGGATCGAACACAGACCTTCCGCTCTTCGAGCAAGCGTCCCATCCTCCATGCAATGGAGGCGTTTCAACCTACATTTACAGGCGGAGGGTAGCCTAGAGGGTAGGGTTCACTTCTCCCTCCGGAGACAAGGTTCGAGTCTCTTATTCAATGAAGCTCATTCTTTTTATCCCCCGTAGTAATGTGTTTTAAAAACTGCTTACATCAGCATCAAAATATACTTCAAATACAAAATGGAAATGCCACGGAAATAACCGTATTTGGTTTGTGTAAACATACAACGAGATAAAATTGTTTCAATGAAATAAAGTTCTAATATTTTTTTGTTCGGTTTAAGAACGTTCAAATTGTAAGCTGCCATTTGGCCAACAGACCAGCTGTAGGGAAGCCACACCATGATGCAAGGTGAACGCGTGAGGCAAAGGTGCCCTTTACACAGTCTTTGCTGAAAATGTGCACCTTAAAACCACTTAATGATGTCGACTGTCGACTAGGTTATGTGCAAATAACGGGTGTAGTTTCCATGTGCCGTTGCACGTACCTGTTGGTGTTTCAAAAGGTCTCTGGTAATTGCTGTACCATTTTTTACACCATTTTTTAAGCTTTCGGTGAAAGCATGTGTCATAAGTTATATAAAGTCATGCTGTTTGCAGGGTTAGGCTTTGAAGTGTTAAAAAACTTAGTCTTCTTGGAAACTGTTTTTACAAAAAAAGATGTATTTTTGACAAAATATTAATTTTTCCTATTGATTTTCTTCTTGTTACTTTGGCGTGACCCCTATGATGTATAGTGTCAAAGTTATAATGGTTTTATGAGATTAGTAAATTATGTATATCATTGAAATGCCTTAAGAAATAAATATATTGTCATCACCATCGCCATAAACATCATCACGATTCCATGTCCTCAGAGTAATTTATGTAGTATCCAAATTGTTACCACCACTACCATCATCATCATCATCATCAACAACAACAATTTCATGACAATTCCATATGCCATCAGGGTAACTTATGAAGTATCCAAACTGTCACCATTGTTGTCGTCATCAGTAACAGCAGCAGCATCATAATTTCTTATAGCATCTAAACCTGATGAAATGCCAAAATTGTCATCATCATCATCATCATCATCATCATCATCTTTATCATCATCATCAACTTCACAAGTCCCTCTATGTGAGTCCTACAATAAGAGCATGACCTGTAGTAAGTCACTTAGCATTAAATACCGTGTAAAGCCCGTTTCACAAAACGACCTTAGCGTTGTGACTGACATAGATCACTTTCTGTAACTAAGCTTCCGATGGCTCCATGGCTAAGATCGCTTTTGCTGTCGAACCACGCCCCCCGGGTACGACGGTACACTAATGCTGCCAGGCTTACACCACGAATGGGTCCTATAAGCTGGTAACCAAGCAACAGTACTAGTCGGTCCTACTGGGCGCTTCGTCTTCTCGTACAAGAATGGAGACGAGGAAAGCTGCTGTGCCACACGAGCCTGACCCAACACTCAAACCTCAGGTAACCTGTATTTTAGAATACCCATATTAGAATGAATTCAAACATCACTAAAATAAATTTCTCTTTGATCACGTCGCCAGTGTTCCGATCAGTGAATGAGTTGAATTTATCAATATTCATATCTCCAGCATGTCGGTTCCATGTCGGCGGAAGGCCCACTCTGATGCTGGCCACACGGTTGCCAAGTATACGTCACAAAGTGGACAGGTCAAGGATTATAATCGGATCGATTATGTGATTCGAACCCGCTTCCTATGACGAAATGCACAGTGTCAGTTATGCAAGACAGGTCTAACTAGCAACGCCTCGTCTCGTTTGATCTTCAAAGATGTCCCACGTCAAAGTAGCCCCACATACAACAAATAATCTTTGCCATAGCTAGCATACCGACGACGCTGTACCAAAAAATGACGACAGGTAACGTTTGAAAAACTATTTTAATCCCTTATTCTTTGATTACCAACGAGGCCGAACTTTGTACTACTGATGTGTTTCCCGATCGTCCTCGATTCAAACGTTAATTTCCAAGAATCGCAATTGATTTGTCAAAAGAACACAAACTGTTTGTTATTATAAGGATTCCCAGACCTACAAACATGTATGTATTTGCCCGAGACTGTCCATGTTTAAAGCGTCCTGTCGCACACAGGTAAAACCCTTGGGAGGTCAGGTGTATTTGATTTGAGTCGAAACCTAATTTGCAGGTGAGAACGCAACTGGGCTGGTCACGTGACTTCGGATACCGGGGCCCGCTTGATCGAGTGGTAATTCCGAGAAATGTCAGACATTTTGACAAAGGTGTTTGTTGATATAGAATTGTTTAACAATCTCAGCTTCAATGTTTGATGTGCAGTGACGCTGCCGTGTATAAAGATAATTAAATATGTTTCCCTTAAACCGTCCTATCATTTAGCTTCATTCAGTAGACGATGATCTTAGTGAGCGGACATTCTTGAGAATATCTTCATCTGGTGACACTATCTGGTATTTAACCTGCTCGGAATCTACAGACAGTGCGTATCGTTATATTTTAGCATACAGTGCTACTCTAGAGTTGTACACATACAATGTACAACCACGTTCCTGGTTCGATGGTTATAAACAACATTGTATTGCAACATTGTACGTCAATTGTATTCAGGTATACAATTTTGCTCAGTGGTTAAGACTGTGTTTCATTGCATCCCTTATAGAGGGTTGTACACCGTGCGGACCATTGTATTTTCGTATACAATCCTGTTCCATGGTTCAAGATTGCGTGTCATTGTATTCTTGCCTACTTGCCATGGCTGAGGCTGCAGACTGTGTGGGCTGTAGGAAACGATAATTTGTTCGCAGTGGCTCGAATTTCCTTAATATGTACATACCTACATATGTAAGACACACGTGTGTACAAATGAATCACCTGTCGCTCTCGCTTCTCTCCAATAGATAATCTGTATTTATTGATGATCGAATGACTGATATTGATCGTGCTAGCGAAATCACAAGAATTGAGGTTAATCGCATCAAAACGAGACTCAAATACAACGAAGCGATCGCAAGCAAATACGGCCGTTAGTAAAAATCTCCTCCCGTCTGGGACGTCATCAGCCTCATTGGAAACCTCCTCCTCAACGTGAAAAGGTGTCACGCGGTCGCTGACGAAATAACGTCACGCACTTGTTTCGGCGAGTTAGTCTGTGTTTGTGCCAGGAGTAACGCCACTCACGCTCCGGGCCGGGCGACTTCATTCACCATCAGCAGGGAGAACCTCAAGACAAGTTACTACTCTCTGGACAATTGGTTATTATATTTTACATCAATATGAAGACCCAGTGTGTCATTGTACTACTTTTGGGTGAGTTTTCACATTAATATTGGGTCTTGTTTCCTTAGATTTGATGTTTATCATTGTTAAACGATGTTTTTCTCTACATTCTATTTGATTGCCTGTGCTCCTTGATCCTCGCAAGGGCCTTTGTTTAAAGTCCCATTAAGATCGGTATTTATTGAAGGCAAGATCCCTGTCTGTTGGAATTTTAAACTTTTTTCTAAAGTGAAACTTCAAATATTGCATTCTTTCGCTGTGTAACTTGAGGCGGGTTCAAGAAAATACTTTTCTGCTTTCTGAAATCTTTTTTCTTTAACTCGTAAACAAAATAACTGGTTTTACTGAATACATCCAGGAGTATTTGCTTTGCTTCAATTTACAGTTACTTCTAACAGTATTTTTTGTTTGTAAAAAGGAACATTTTTACTTTCTGAATCTGAATGAATATCCAGTTTGTAGTTTTCAATAATCTTGAAAGTCATTCAAATGTATGAAATCACGGTAACTTTCTTATTCTGATTACTTGAAAAACTGTTTCTTAAACAAATTAATACAAAACAATTTTACTGAAACAAAATATCAGTCTAGATCATAATAAAAACAAAAAGAACTGAAAACAGTTACAGAGTTTATTTTATTGTATTTTGTGAAAAAGATTATATTTTGTGGAAAAGATGAACTTAAAACTTACAAAGCGTATTTGGTGAAAGAAACACCCGAAAAAAGATTTACCAAATTCTTGTCAATTTCTGATGAATGACTCATATGTCAACGCCCCATGTGACGTGTTCGTGTCTAAAAATAAACTAGTTTGGAATTGCAGTCATGATTGTTTACAAACTAAAAAGCTTCGATTGGATTGGTCAAAGTATTTACCCGTCGCTCGTTCCTGTTACTTAAAATAAAGCAGAGCATATTTGGTATAAAAAAAATACCAGTTTCTTGCATATATATTCAAGATTATTTTAAAGTTTTGTACTTAGTAGAAACTAGAATGTTGTCACGGTCGCGATGTGGCCATGAACCACAACATGACTCTACATTAATTCACTCAATCTAGTTGTATAATGGGTACCCGTACGGAATAAGTGAGGATATTACTAAAAACTGAATATATTCTGACCCTACAAATACTGCCTCCGTGGTCCACTGGTAGAACGTCCGAACGGAGAGCGGAAAATCCGGTGTTCGATCCCAAGCAGCGTTATACTAAAAGACGTTAAAAGATGGTACTTGTTGTTACCGTGCCTAGTGCTCGGCATTAAGGGGCTAAAAGAAGGATTGGCCGGCTCGGAGTCAGTATACTGTGTCTGAGTTGGATATTCATATTAAACTGCGGCATGGTATCTCAATGGGTTAGCACTATAAAATCGGCATTAGTCTAGTACAAGCAGACAAGCGCACGCGCACGCACGCACGCACACACAGACACACATCGTCAGAGCTTGTCGATAGAGGCGACTAACGGGATCGGGTGGTATATGTAAGTGCAATAATCTTGAACGCGACCTAAAACCCATTTCACCTCACCCTTCAAAATGAATGTGTGTTTTTCAAAGTAACCTTTGTGTCTGCATGAAGCGGCTATTATAATTTAGTTTTTTTTATAATCAACATTATTATCGTTATTATAGTAATGTATTATTATCGATGTTTTTACTTAGTAGCATTGTTACTGTATTCCGAGTTTGCCTCGTAAAATTTTAATTCACAAGAACATCCCCACCCATTGATAATCAGGACACGTACGTGTCTCATTAAAGGTTCACGATTTAATTCATGTCAAATGATTCTTGATCCCAAAACACACGAAAAACACACTTCGAAGTTTGATGACTGGTGTGTTCTGGCGAATGTTCCACATTCCACGCGTTTCTAAACAGGGTCGTCTCATTACGTCTCATCTGTGTCTCGTGCATAGGTGTAGGGTAAACGTCGAGGGTACTGTTTGTTTTGGAGGTGGATGTTGATACTGATGCTGCTTCTACCTCCTCAGACGCTACTCGCGCACATTGTCACCCTGTCACGATACATTCGCTTGGCAGGAAACACTTACAGTGGGTAGACATTAAACAATTTTCAGATTGCAGAACGTGGTTCGCGAATAATCTGATATTGAATCGACTTTTCGAAATACTATGTAGGAAATTGCTGACATGGACGGTGTAATCTCCGAACTGTGTTTAGCAACCGCCATAGAAGGGAGTACCGTTAACTAGAATTTGCTCAGAAAAGTGTAAACAAATTTCTTTTCATCAACAGTTTGGAAACAAACGATTATCTCGGAGGTAAAAAATGTTGGTCTTTTAACCAACAAAATCTTTATCCTTTAAACAATGCAGTAGTTGTTATTGGTGATGTCTTAAGCCTTTCCGTGACAAGTTTTCTTTTTTTCTGGACTATTTTCCCGAGGCATAGGACTCTAAAAAGCTGGGATTTCTGGGTTTGATCGTAGCGCTACCAGTGGCTATCACGAGTTATGTCCCTTCTATGCCCCTCCTAATGACCAATCAGATTCCACCTCTCATATCACTTGCATTTGCTTCAAACAAAATGGCGGCGCCCAGTCAAGACGATCTGATCGATAATCAAAATGTATATTATAATAAAACAGGTTTTATCTCACGAAGTGCATCAAATCACGTGAGCACCTTCATCAAAATCAGGAAAATATTTGGAAAATTTCTGCCGACGCCCAGTTGACGATACACATCCTTTAGGATTTTGTATCGAGATTAGATATTTTTAAGCTACAAAACATGTTTGTATTTAAAACTTTAAACTGATTTTTACAAAGAGAAACACATTGCAACAATGTAGCTTTTGTGGCGGGATGTTTCTGTTTTTAAACAGTTTGAAGCCTAAATAATTTCAAGAATTTTCGGGGACAAGTATTTTTTTTATGAAAACCAAGCCAAATATTATTCATTGATATTAGTTCTGTCATTATCAGCACATGACTTGATGGACGCCATTTTGCAGGTCTGAATCATGGACTACGTATAGCAACGTGTAGAAATAGTTACGGTCACGTGTTTACGTAAATACGGATCCGTGTCAGGGATACGGATACAGGAACGACAAAACGGTGTTATCCGGGCCTTTACGCGATGTAGTTTCAATGGTCCGCCTGACTTTGAGTTAACGAGATTTCAATGCACGTACTACTGTGTGAGTGGCGGGTGATCCGGTAGGGCAGGACTTGCATCCCCTTTCGCGATTTTCACTTATCCATTAACATAATTTTCTCCTCTATTTTCTCTTTTCGGCCATGAATTTTGTTTCAGCGATAATCGAGAATGGCCGGGAGGGAAGGACTTGCATCCCCTTTCGCGATTTTCACTTATCCATTCACATAATTTTCTCCTCTATTTTCCCTTTTCGGCCATGAATTTTGTTTCAGCGAGAATCGAGAATGGCCATTCTCTGGCGTTGGTGTTTAATATATGTTTGAATGTCGTCAATGTCAACTGTTTTTATAGGACAAGGAGACGACGACATCGTCCCAGATGCCAGGTGACAATATTACATAAACCTCAATTAACCGTCTTCGTAGGGTTGATATTTCATGTCATTTTCTATATTTCTTTTTTGACAATTTGTAATATATGGAACATACTGTTACAAATTCGGAATAGCGCATTATATGTCCTTCGTGAATGTTTGTTTGTTTATTTGTTTGTTTGTTTGTTTGTTTGTTTGTTTGTTTGTGTGTTTATTTATTTGTTGTTTAACGCCGGACTGAGCAATATTCCGGCTAATATGACGGTGGTCAGTAAATTATAGAGTCTGGGCCAGACAATCCAGTGATTGATACCATGAGCATCGCTCCACGCAATTGAGATACGATGACAAGCATCAACCAAGTCAGCGAGCCTGACCACCCGATCCCATTTGTCGCATCTTACATGCCCCTTACAAGCCTCTCTCTCTCGATCTTGGGACAATATTTGGCATGTGCCAATAGCTGCAATGACATTGTTTGACATTGATTGCTCCACTGAAAAGTTCTATTTGATGAAAGGACCTGCTCTGTGGTAAGATCACATCAGAACAGCCTTTGGAAAACTCCCACGAACTAAATGATTGTATAGGACAGACAGTATTGTATGGAATATGGCTCTCCGTGACAAAACTGTTGAGGACATAGTTTACAAGACGTTATGTTTGAAATATGTTTCTGCGTCACATAATTGTATGGGACATAGTTTACAAGACATATGTATGGAATAGGTTCTACGTGACATAGTTGTTTAGGACACAGTTTACAAGATAGATTTGTATGGAATAGGTTCTACGTGACATAATTGTATAGGACATGGTTTACAAACAGATTGGTATGGAATAAGGTTCTACGTGAAATACTTGTATAGGACATGGTTTACAAACAGATTTGTATGGAATAAGGTTCTACGTGAAATAATTGTATAGGACATGGTTTACAAGACAGGTTTGTATGGAATAAGGTTCTACGTGACATCATTGTATAGGACATGGTTTACAAACAGATTTATATGGAATATGTTTCTGCGTGAAATAATTGTATAGGACATGGTTAACAAACAGATTTGTATGGAATAAGGTTCTATGTGACATAATTGTATAGGACACAGTTTACAAACAGATTCGTATGGAATAAGGTTCTACGTGACATAATTGTATAGGACACAGTTTACAAGACATGTATGGAATAAGATTCTATGTGAAATAATTGTACAGGACATTGTTTACAAGACAAAATTGTATGGAATAAGGTTCTACGTGGAAATATTGCATAGGACAATTGTATGGATTGCGTGTAACAAGCATGTTGGTTTAATAAAGTGATAATGTTGACAAAATGTCGTTACATTTTATGAATGAGAAAATAAGTTTCAGCTTGAATTTTCATGCGTAAATAGCGAGGTCAAGGTTATCCAAACCGAATAAAACGAGGTACACTTTGTACGACATACGGGTGACGTACGCTATTAGTATTTCACCACCTGTCTCTTCACCCCGTGGGTAATAAAACATTGTACAGGACA